AATAAAGCAAACAAACTTAATGGACTTAATACTAACCTGTTGTGCTGGGGGTAAAAACCAATCTTGAGTTAATTAAGTCGGACTTCAACCCTGTAATCCCAAATGTATCATATTTAATTGATACGGTTTCGTAAATGTTTCGACACCTTTTTCTTAATTTAATGGTAAAAACTTTGCTCAAAATCCTATTGTACACAATCAGATATACCTGATAACAGGGGGCAGAAGACTACACGAAAAATTATCTTGACTTATCCCATAGTAATAATATTAAAAATGTATTTCTGTTTTTTCTTTTTATATATTTTGTTAAAAGGCCAAATAAGGAATTCAAACAAAAAAAAAGTAATTTTCTGTTTTGTTTTATTCTTGGATCAGGCTTTAAAGGGTTAATATAACATATTAAAAAGTTTGTTGATGCGACTTGATTAAACGTTTTAACACTGAGTGAGTGTGGCTCATTGTTTGAGCCTGTATCAGTGCACAATGTTGCCACGATCTGGAATAATAGTGCAAAAGATTTGCCTTAAACGCATCCTCACACAAATGACACAGTAACCAATCAGATTTTCATGCACTTCTTTAATATATCAGTTTTTCCATATTCACAACAAATACATTAAGCCTTCTCCTTATGATACAGCCTTAAATATTTTTACACTAAACCTTTTCTTTCATCAAAATGTTTTTCACTCTCCTTTATGTTGGGCATTTTGTAATTTGTTACATTTGTAGTCTCCATGCCTCCTAGCAAACTGACAGTATTTCCTTTGTACAATTATTTACAAGTGGAACAAAAAAAAAAAAAAAAAATCTCCAAAGTTTTACATGATAGTTCTTAGATGAAAATAATTTTTGGGTTTAAGGTGCAGGCAAACGGGATGAAAAACAGATACAGGCTGAACAGAAAGTCTTGGATAAAGGGGTAGCAGAGGGAGTGTGGCGAGACCGGAGGTGGTTAAAAGGGCAGCAAAGCGTCGTGATGGAGCGGAGTGTTGCTCCAGTAGATTCTATGAAATGTACGCAAATATACATCTGTGATAATATTCTCATAGAAAATAACAATTTTCATGGGAAAATAAATACAGCACTCTGAGAGACTTTGTTTGCTTAAACCGTGAGAAAAAAATGCTAATCCTATTTATGGGCTCTGCTATCAGCAAATACAAGCACTGTAAAGGATGATGCTGCTACCTGTGGAAGGCAGCTTGGTCAACATTAGTTTAAGTTTAACCCCACTTGTCCATTCTGAATTACATGGATGAATTACACGAGTAAGGACTCAGTAAGGGGTGCTGGGACTCTTCTGGCAACAAGTCTCTGCAAGCTAACAGGCAAAGAGCACATAAAAAACAAACAAACCCATGTCTCATTAGGTCCTTGGAGTGCTTCACAGAGATTTGAAGTCAGAGAAAATACCAAAACAAATTTGTGAGGTGGTGAAAGTGACAATGTGATACTCAGAGCATCTCTCTGTGCAGATGGTTTAGGTGATCTGTATGCTGATGTCCATTTACCTCTTTGCACAGAAATCGATGGATTTTTTTTTTTCAAAGTTCTGAGCAGCCTTCATCTTTTTTGAGGAATTTTTAACCAAGGCTCTACAATTTTTTTTCACAATCAGAATCACGTGTCACTAGCCCTCATACTACTCCCTCATTAGTAAATATATATGTAACCGCTGTAACTAAAGACCATTCAGTGAGCAGCACGATTTAATTTCCATTTAACACCAGTCATTCAGAATGTGCTGTGAAAGGGGGCCACCATTTCAGCATGACTGTGTTCAGCATTGTTATCGTGCCTTTATAAAAAATTAGAACTAAATAAATAAAAAGAAAATGAACAAAAACAAAGCCAGGATTGACTCTGTGCTCACACTTATGCTTAAAATTTGTAACAAGTTATAGTATATAGGTTCTTCCTTTGAACCGATGTACAATCTTGACTTTCATCAGAGCTTTAGACATGAGGGATTCTTTAAGCTAAATCCAGCAACAGAGCTTCTTTCATGATGAAAAGATATGCTATATCGACCAAAATGCCTCTGATATCTTTACACTACAGTTTTCTACCCGTTGTGAATAGAAAAATGGTGGTTTGAGTAAAAAGAATGATATAACTGGGTATTACAAAGCCAACTTGCTCAAGTTCGATTTTTCCTTAGTTGAATTTTGGTCCATTCTGGAACCGGCGTTTGACTTGCTGATGCCAGGGTGTGTGTGTGTGTGTGTGTGTGCAAAAAGCAGGAAAAAAGAACTAACACATGACCAGCACTGGCTACGTTTACACTCACAGAGCAATATTTCAATAAAAGGTCCTTGCGCATATGGCTCATATTTAACATGTGATATTGCTGCATGCTAATAAATCTTTTTGTCAAAACGATAAATCTTTTTTGTGCCCCCCACTTAAATGCATGAGGAGAACAATAATCCATGCAAACGTCACTAGTGAATGGATGCAGTATTTATATCTTATTTGCAAAAGATGGTGTCATAAAAAAACACAATAGACGCTGTGTGCGGAACAGTTATTGTTTCTTGTGTTCTTGTTAAGTGACAGATAAAAAAAAAATTATACAAAAATACAAACTTCATGCGCAAAGACCTTCAAATTTTACTTTGTGTAAGACAGCTTTTGTTCTGACTGCAGTTACCACATGAGGTTATAGACAGTTCTAATGGAATTGGCCATGGTAAAAATAATCCAGCATTGTGTTGACAATTATTTTTTATACTGGACAGTCACAATTTGCTGGAAATTTCAAAACATGTTGTAAAACATACTGCTGTTTTAAGACATGATGACTGGTTAAAAAAGGGGGGGGAAAAGCTGTTGGAATGAAGGCAAATCATTGGGTTTTTGGAGGGATGTAAAATGAAGAACTGGGGTGGGTGTGGGTGAAATATTCTATTTACAACATGAAGAAATTACCAGAATTGGAATAGTCTTGTCTAGAGTATAGTCACTAATTGGAATATTGTTTTCCATGTAAACGTAGCCATTGACATTTCGCATATCTAAAAATGATTAGCAAATATAAATCCAGACTTTGTATGAATGCTGAATTTTACTGTGCGACAGCTAATGTGACCACATTGAGAAACAAAATGAAAAAGAAATTATAAAGTATAGCCTTCAATGACCTTTTCTTCCACTTTGGACCAGAGATGCTCAGCAACAGACACGCAAAAGCACAACAGAATGTTAGAAACAAAAACAGTATGGTCAGGGGTTGTAGCACAGCTACGTGCACCTCAAGTGAGATCAGCAAGATTCACATTCATTTTCACATCCCATCAGATTATTGTGTACTCTATTAGCTCTCCTTTCCCTTGTTTTCTTTTAGACGTCAGCACACAGATACAATTTGTGACCAGTAAAAATAATGTGCATATAGGCTGGATTCTTTGATTTTTCTGCTTTGCCAGCAAAATTAAAAACAGATCAGGAAAAAAAAAAAAAGAAGAAAAAAAAAGATTTAGCTTGGGAATCATGTTAAAAAAAAACTGTTAGTGTGTGCGAGAGGGTCTTTTTCAATGGAAACACTGCAGGTGGGTGAAAAAAAATCAGTTTAAAAAAAAGGAATGCTAGAAATGGGCCTTGATAAGACTGTCCCGATTTAAGGCAAGTGCCTCCACAAGCCTCCAGTCCTTGTGCTAAGTTGGGCTTGACTTGCTGAAGCACTCGTTCTGTCCAAAGTTTATGATAAAAACACATGGTCATTCGTGAGTATGAAGAACCATTGTGTTAGTGTTTGGCGGGATGTGCCAACTGTGCGCTCCAACTCAGAGAAAAAAATAAAAAATAAAAAGGATCAGGCAATCACTGTCATCACACTAGCTGAGCCAAAAGCAGTCTTCAGTAAGCGGTAAGCCTTCACAGCAGAATATTCACAGTCCAGCTCCTGCAGATGAACATTTCTTCATCATCTGCTCTGCAGGTCACAAATCACTCTTTTCTTTGAAAAAACAAAAAAACTGAACAAAAGGAAAGGCAAGTCGTTCATTCACTTTGATCCTTCTCCACAAAGTGCAAGTACAAAAGTCACAAAGACTAAAACGAGCATCGAAAGAAAAACTGATAGTTTCAAAAGGAGCATTTTTGAAAAAAAAAAAAAAAAAAATCACATAAATAATATCTGCAGGCCTGCCTGTACAGAAAAAGGCAAACAACAATTATGAGAAACTTTAACCTTTACACGCAAACTGGAATGAAAACAAGCAAAAAAACAAAACTAAAAAAAAGTACACGTGTATGAAGAAAGTATAAAGATGGTACAGAAAGAAAATTACAGACCCTTTTCAAGACTTACAGAACTCCTCAGGGATCACTGGTCCATTCAGCAGGTTTGTGGCAGCTCTTCAGCTGCAACAAGTAAGGTCCCCGTTCAAAGTGAGTGCAATATAAAGCCACAAATTCCATTAAAGAAAAAAAAGATAAGAATAATACTAATCATAATGCGGTAATAATCCGGGGAACAAACGAGGAAAATTTTTTGTTGCCGTGTAACAACTTGGAAACCAAGAGAAAAGCCACAAGCACTGTACACTCTCTGAGCTTTGAGGGGACGCCGGACAGTAGCTTAGACCTTACAGAGGGAGAAGAAACCTCTCCTATCACACCCAGCTCTAATCAACACACATTATGTGTCACCCGAAATTAACAGTTCCTTTGGTTGGCAGGAGATAACAGGCAATATTTAAAAAATTCAAAGTGAGTGAATCTTGGACCAGGGACTAATACTGAAAACCTTTTCAATAGATAAAAGTGTGAAGGCTTTCAAATTATAAATGGGAGTTTCTTTTTTTTTTTAAACGAAACAGCAAATTTTGTTGACAAAAGTACAAAGCTGTGGATTTTCTATCAGATATCTAAAGGAAGAACTGCTACGCCTGCTTTTTAATGGAAGTTTGGAACTTTTTAAAGACCAAAATATGTTGATGGCTAGAGAGCTGTGGTTAATTCATTGAAAGTGTCAAATTGTTGGAGGAGAAAAAAAAAAAAAAAAAACAAAAGGCAAGGTACAGTATTCTGAATAATCTAAGCCACAGAAAGCCCAAAAAGACAATAAAAAGGCTTGTGCGGCATGGCCAAGAGTCCTCTAAAATGGCTACCGTTTCTTCAAAAAGAGGACCAAGGAGCTCTACATCCTAGCAGTTGCTAGGTAAAATCTGAAGAATGCAACACAGTTGAAAAAAAAAGAAAAGAAGCTATCTTCATTATCTTCTATCTCATTATCTTCATTATCATCCCCTGTTGAATGACCTCCAGCTCTTCTTGGGAACCGACGCCAAGTTTTCCACCGACCAATGGATGGGAGGCGTCTTCCACAAGCCCTGTTCAGCCGTCGCTCAAAGTGCAGTTCTGGTCTGGCTGATGGCCCAGCCTCTTCATTTGCCTTCATCATTTCCTTCATGCAGACGTTGATTGAGTTTCCTCCTCAAAACCCTTTTCTCGTGAATGTCGTCGGATTTTTTTGTTTCTTTTTTTTTTGACCTCGTGTGTGTAACCGTTTCCCGTCCTTTTTCATCGTTCTATTGCTGTTTGCGTGCTTGGACAGCTTGTTGGAACGACTCCAGTGAGGGTGCCCTCTTCGGGGTGATGGAGGAAGAAAACCACACATTCTTTGAGACTAGCGTTCCAGTTTGTTGTTGTTGTTTTTTTTCAATAATGAATGAATCCACCGCAGGGACACAAGACATTTGAGAAGTGACGAGGGAAGAAGTGATGTGACACTGCACTTACTTAAATGCAGAAAACTCCCCTGGAAATTGAGAAGGATACAAAAATTAATACCAAGAAATTGCTTCAGCAGCTAAACAAAATGTAACTTCTTAGGATTTAAAGATCACCTAAATGATAAGATGAAGTGCCATTCTATATAATGCAGAACTATAAGTTTGTACAGATAACGTCGGTGAAAAGTAGAAAGCATGTGATCACACAAAATCCATGACATTACAAGAAGAAGCTATCATTTCAAAGCATAGACAGTACAAAATCATGCACTGAAACTGAGATCTATATGTATTACTGTCAGTTATCTTCCCATTATATGTAAAGACTTATTCCTGGAGTACAGGGTAGTTAGACAGGAGCTGAACAGCTCTATCCTAATCTATCCGGTGGTGATGTGAGGGGACCATTTTGTGTTGTAGCTGGCCAAGATAGTGACAAGGAACTGATTGCCTTAGCGTCCAATGTTTCAATTGAACCCTTCATTGTCTTTTTTTAATCTAGATGTGAGAATTCTAGTTACTAAAAATGCTATCTGCAACCAACTCTATAAGATTGGGTTATGTAGTTTCAATGTCTGCCCTTCAGCAGACCCTGTGTACTTCTATTTACTACCTTTTGAATGAGCTGTGCCGCCCATGAATTGTCATATAGTCGACCTAAAGGAGATTGTAGAGGTGTGAAAAGCAACGTCGCTTTTCAAAACATTAATATGGTTCACCTACTGGTCTTTTTTGCCAATGTCCCTGAATCTAGATTTCAGTATATGTGTGAACCTTCGTTTTTACATTGTTGATAGTAGGCTTCATAAGACTGGCATCAGACCTGAGAGGGTGCTCTGCATATAATCTATGAAGTGGAGATAGGAGCAGTAAACACCTGTTACTCCAATGGGTTCACCATCCAGAAAAGAGCTATTCTTGAACTTGTGTTTGGTTTTTAACATGACTGTGCAACTAGTAGAGGTAAAAGAAAAGAAAAAAAAAAGAACAGACAGCTTGTTTTTGTTTCACACTGGAACGCTGAGTCCTTTTACATGACAGTATCTGAAAGAAATGGCTTCCTGTGTTTCCTCCCTCCGCAGACCAGTGTGCACAGTTGAAATAAAGAGACAGGGCTCACCATAGCCGCCGGCCTGAATGGGGGTTTTAGGTGAGGCGCAGGCGTACAAGCTAAAGTCTTCCGTCTGAAAGCCAGCTCTGTTTAGTGAGGGCTCTGAGGCGCTGCGGTGGATTTTGGGTAATGAGCGAGCCAGCAGCTCAATAGACGCCAAGATCTGAGGGCAAAACAGCAACAGGAGTCAGAATCTGTGGGATCATCATCTACAACTAGCAAGTCACTGAATTTGGCTCTGCTGCTCATTTGAACTTTTACAACTCTGAGGCCATCTGGTGGCAAAACTAGTAAAAACATGTTAAATCTGGTGAAAACAGATTTAAAAAAATGGTAAACCTTACCAAAAAAAAAAATCTACTATATCCTACTTGATTACACTTTCTTTACCGTAGCACATTATATGCCCCTGCCACCTTTAGCATTAATTTCTCACCTGTGGAAACAGAGGTCTTTCCTCTCTTTTCTTTTTCAGGCAGTCAGCCATCAGTCTCTTCATGGCCTTCGGACAGTTGCTGCGCACCTTGCTGAGGTCCGGGGAGAGGTAACCTCGGCCCACCATGAATATAATCTAAAGGGACAGCAAGTTCAACTTAAACATCGTTGATTTTGTTTAAGCGGCACTAAATCAATGTTGACTTTTACTGTGTAAATGTTCTCTTTACACAATACTGGAGCAGTGGAATGTTCCATCAGTTATTTCTAAAGTCAGTACAGTTAATCTCAAAATGAAGCTGACAACATTAACAGGAATATTATTCAATACATCCTAATAAATATAAATAAAAAACTTGTCAATGCATATCATGAACTGGCTGCAGTATAACAGCAGAGGATGGTGTGTGACAGATGATGCAGTTGCTCTAACATGGTGGGACAATCAACAGCAGCTCAGATATGTCAGCAGTGAGTGTGGTAATATTTATGATTTTAAGAAAAATTAGCGTGCATAGCTAAAATGCCCTCATATATAGGACTTCAAACAGGAAACTACAGTGTTGATAAGTGGGTGAGAATCAATTGCTGATGGCTACTTTGCCTTCTTACTTCCCATTGGGAGCTTAAATGTGATCACAAAGCTTCACCACTCATCATTGTAGATGAATTAAAAATAATCTGATAAACGGAAAAGATCAGAAAAAAGAAGCTGGACTTTAAAGTGAAAAGAAATATTATATGTTCCATAGAAAGTAACTGGGATTTATCTGCACATTTGTGGATGATTCCGTTCACAGGAATGTGAAACCATAGTGCAATGTATCATAGCCAAAGTAGTGAGATGTGCAGATGTTGGCTAATCAGCACCAGTGTGACCACTGAGAACTCTTACCTGGTCTCTGTTGTTAATGTTGGAGTAGGGCAGAGCTCCTGACATGAGCTCATAGAGCACAATGCCGAAGGCATACACGTCGGACTGGAAGCTGTAAGGATTCTTGTCCTGCAACCGGATCACCTCTGGAGCCTGAAACACACACACACACAGTGTCATACTCTCACACCAACAATCGCCATGAACCAGAAGAAAGCCCACATTTCTACACCTCAGTGTAGTAATTTGAATAACCTTTATTCTTCACTTTTGTTTGCGTCATAATTACTTTAATTCTTTTAAGTTTAACTTTATACTATAGTACTTGAATAACAGACGGTACGGTATATATGAGCTGCTGTTGTGGTGTTTGTTCTTCCTTTTTTTCAGCCCTCTCAAACCCCCTGCACATTCTCCCTGAATATGGTTTTCCCAAAGGCTTCTTCTTGTTCAAAGGGAATCTTTTTTTTTTTCCCACAGATGCCTCGGTGCACACTCAGGATGAGAAGTGGGATTGAAATTAAGTTTTGGTTCAATCTGTTGGTTTTTCTCAGATATTCCTTATTTCAGGGTGCTATTCAACATGTGCACTCACCATCCAAAGTATTGAGCCAGACAATTGTTCAAACTGGTGGGAGCCACTCCAGCGAGACTTTACTGTGGCCAGACCAAAGTCACCGATCTTCACCGTCAGATCCTCATGGAGGAAAATATCTAGGTACAGGTGAGGTCAAGGAAATACTCTCTGCAGTAAAGTTCTTAACTTCAAATCAAAACAAGTTGCTTCAAAGGAGCGTGCTTCATTCGTGCTTCATTCCTTAATTTAAAAACAAATGATCACTCGAGTTCTAAAAAAACCCCAAAACAAGTAATACAAGTAATAGGATACTGTTGCTCTTCAGATCTCTGTGGATGATTGACTTGGCGTGCAGGTAACTGAGGACAAAACAAAAAGCTGTTAGATCAGGTACATACGAGGTGAAACAGGACTTTCTTTGAATTAGTGGGGAAACTCACTCCATGCCCTGGGCAGTCTGCCGGGCAATGTCTATCAGCTTAATCATCTCAAACTTGGTCTCGATGATGTGCAGGTGGTGGTATAGACTGGAGCCTTCACACCACTGGGTCACAATGGCTAGCTGGGGCTTGGTCGTGTATCCCATGAACAGCAAAATGTTCACATGGCGCGTTTTCCTTGTGCAAAAATATGCAAATACGATTAAACAGGAGAAGATCCAGGTCTTTATTAATTTATTTCTAAGTATGAAAGCGGTGGATACCTGAGGACTCCCACTTCATTCTTAAAGGCCTGGAGCTGTTGTGGCGTGGGAGCAGTGACGTTCAGCATCTTAACCGCCACATCCCCTGAAAGGGACAACACAATATCAAATAATAATAGGTCAATTTATTGCAAGTGAATAGATAATCTTGTAAACATCGACATAGCCACTATGTAGGGAAAATAAATGGGACTTTTGCCTTAATTTCGGGTGTAAGGGGCTACTTTTTAAATCAACACGCTTTGAAAACTGGCTTAAACAACAACGCAGATAATTTATGGATTTGTATGGGATAACGAGTTTCATGCTGCGAGATCATTTAGACCATTGAAATGATAACAACAGGTTGGAAAAAAGCATCTATGGTTCGTATTTGATTAAGTTTTAAAAAATCTATCTGTGTAAATATTTCATGTTACAACGTGGACACCTGTGGTTTATCGAAAAGTATGGCCTATATATGTAAAAATGTGTCCTTTTCTTCCAAAAATTAGTTGGTGAAGCTTATTTTCAAGTGCAGTCTGACTGTCTGAAAATTACGCTACAAATGACGTCTGAAAATAGTCTAAAACACAAAACCTTATTTTTAATTAAAAAAAAAAGGAACCAAATTCCCCAAGTCACCTTTTAAGTCTCAAACAAAGATCCAACATGTTATCTTTGCCATTTATTGATAAAGATATCAAATAAATTTCTTTCTTATTAAGATTTTTTCTCATGTTTTCATTTTACGTATCCTCTTAACTGGCATGCAATCTCCATTTCAAGAAGAAATAATGTTTAACTCCTTAAAATTCTAACTTTTTTAACCAAAGAAAAGGCATACATGCATGCTAACTGAGGTTAGGATCAAGAGTCTGTGGAAACTGTGCACATCTGACACATAATTCTAGTTTGCAGCAGCACATTTTAGAAATATTATTTTACTGGAGTACATGAACTGGACCTTTGGCAATGTAACAGGATAATTTTAGTTGGTGTTGCCTCTGTTATTGGAATACTGTGTGGCTTCATACTGTAGTTGGGTTACACATTTTTTGGGGGGTTTTGCAACTGGCTTCACATAAGTGTTTACATCATTAGAATCACAAGATTCTAAGCTTTTGCACAGTGACTTGTGTACATACAGAGAAAGGGGTGTTAAGAAAAACCCTTGATTTGTTGTGTTATATGCAATGTCCAACCAGCAAGATGTTAGATAAAATCTTCTTCCCTGCAGCACCCCACATTGTGTTTTCAAATGGCGTGTTCTACTGTGGAAACAAACAGCCCAACATGCACCGCCATGCCCATTCTTATTTAAACGCAGCGCATTTAAAGGTGATTCGTCAGTATTCTGTGCTTGTGGTGACTTTCTGGTTTGACAGAGGTTTATATAGGGTTGGATCAAAAGCCAACATTGGAACATATCACCCATGGTCAAGGGTGACTTAGCTAAAAAAGAACTTCAGCCACAAGATCCACTGAGTTGTTTTCCAGAAAACTTCCATACTCATTGCCAGTGGTTGGAAAAAAAGAGTGCAGCAGGATCTTACCATGCCATTTTCCCTTGAAGACGGTTCCAAAGGATCCAGAGCCTATCCTCTGACCAAGAGTTATCTGACCCTCAGGGATTTCCCAGTCATCACTGGAATCCCTTCTGCCAAGAGTTTTCTGTTCCACAGGACACCGGGTAAGCCAAAGTACATGACGGGCAGCAACGCAACATTCATCGGTGACAGCATCTCACCATCTTGTTCCGGTCCTCAGACGAAGAAGATGACTTGCGCTCCCTCTGCGGGCAGGGTGACTTCTGTGTCATTTTGTGACTGGTCAGTGAACCAGGCAGAGAAGCGGGGGGTGTGGCTGACAACCCAGTGGTTGAGCCTGGATGGGGAGAGAAACCATACATGAGGTGAGGGGAGGAGAAGAAAATAGATAAGTCAAAGAAAAGGTGAGAGGAAAGGACAAAAGAAACAAAATCTGGGCAAAGACTGTCACTAAGGTATTACTATCCACTGAGGGATTATGCGTTTGGTCACATGCAAAGAAAAAATGTTTTATGTGTATGGGGAGGTGCTTGTTTGGATCAAAATTAGTGGTTAAACAAAAGCTAACTTCAAGTGCATCCCCGTCGTATCTCGACTTCAGTCAGAATCCTAAAACATATGACATCTGAAGCTCCAGATTCTTACTGAAAAGTGTCAGCAATTAAACCTTTTCTGTCAAAGTTTAGACTCTCTTGGTCAAATCCCGCCCGGATAAACTTTTTGGAAAAGAAAAATGTTACCATATGCCATGAATGGGAACTTTCCATTAGAAATACACAGATCAGAAATGCTGCCTTGATGTCCGAGACTAATTGCTCTTAAGCCTCTGTTTTAATTAGCTTTTGATTACATTTTGGCAAACTGGAATGTTGATTTGCTTCCTTCTGCCTCCTTTTCTTTATAAGTCAGATAAATAGAAATATACATCCTTTGATTTCTGTAAATATGGATTTTAATGAGCTGGACTGAGCGGGACGTCCATACTCCATGCAATGTACAAATGTCTGCACAGGAGGCCATCCTCAACATGAGGCGGGCAGTTTTTCTCCAACAACATATTCCTTTTTTGGAATTTAGCTTGAGTCAGGAGAAAACAGCATCATCGCATACGAGTTCAAAAGAGCATGTTCATTTGTGAGGTGACATCAGAGCAGCACTGGGGTCTGTAACCTGAGTAGAGTTCTAGTGAGACCATGTGAGAAGACAAAGGGTGAGAGAGTGGGAGGACACACTGTGGATGGGACACCAGTTGGTGTGTAGGTGTAGGTGTGTGTATATATGAGGCGAGTGAAGGATACGGCAACACACAGAGGCCTAACTACCTCGGTAAACAGGCTCAGGCTCAAAATCAAACACTATGTCATTGGGGCAGGAGTAAAGGAGGGGGCTTGAGGTCCGTGTTCGGTGCTTCCTCAAGCAGCGGGTGGGGTGGGTCAGGGGGGCTGCAGGGCAAAGAGAGACAGAGAGGCCATCACTGCTACTCACCTTGCTCTTCTCTAACTAAACTAAGCATCACTTACAGCTCAGCTTTGTCACTTCCTTTACGAAGTGAATCTGCAGCTTTAACATACGGAGCTCTGGCAAAACAGCTCAAAAAAGGGTCTTCACACCAAAAACTAATTTAAGTTATTTGAGTTCACGTTTTTCTACTCCTTGTAGCAGAAAATGACACAAAAATAAACCAATTTCTCATTTGTAAAAGTATGCAAATTGCATATTAGAGCCTAAAATATTCACAGTATCCACATATTTGCCATTTTCCTTGTAAGCATTTTCTTAAGAGTGTTTTGATACAAAGCGAAATATAAAATATATATATATTTATTGTAGTCACCGATTCAAAAGGACTGTAGATGTTATGGATCCTTTTTTTTTTTTAAAGACTTTATGAAACAAGTGCTCAGTTGAGCCCAGATTTTGAACCTTTCTAATGCAAGTCAAGAAAACGATATTAAATAATTCAATCAACCCCTACTTTTAAATCTAGATTAATATTTCTCACTAGACTTAAAAAGGACAAAGCAAACTCATGCTCTGCCCTGTAGATGCGCACATGAAAATGCTGGTCTGGAGCCAAAATGAACTGCACTAGTTTATTCCAAAAACCCTGACCCAGAATTCCTTCATTAGTCGGCCCAATGAGAGTGTTGGGGTGTAACGCTGAAACATAAGTGACTCAACATAACAGGCCTGGACTCTCTGTCACAGAAACAGATGCACAAATAAGAAAAAAGACCAAGGGCACGTAGAATGCAGGATGGTGTGAACAATCTGCAGGTGACACTGAAGTTTTGAACTGTTGATGCATACCTCCATCGGACCTCGGCAAGCCCGGATCTTGAATAAGGTCCTGAAATAAAGGAAAAAAAGAAATACAAATATGGATCAGAAAAACTGATATGCTGAATTGTGACCGATTTTAGATTTGGTTCTGTTTCGAGTCTTGGGGGTTGTTTTTTTTTAACGGAATAAGAGGGAATAATTACTTTTTTTTTGTCTTAACACAAATCTTCATTCAATGTGATTCTTTGGACAGCTGATCCATTTTAGACAGGGATCCCACAGCCTTATCTACATAGATGAAAGCTCTTATCAAGAATATTAACTTTGATCCAAGTACTGCATATCTCACAAAAATGACCATAATAAAACTTTCTTTTAAAACGAAATTTTCATTTGAGACTACTAACAGACAAGCACAATGAGAAATAAGAAAAATCAAATAATAATACTAATAATAACAACAACAACAAAGAGTATCTTTTTTTCTTTTGCATGTTGTGACTGAATCAAGGTATTTAATGCAAACTAAGAAGTCAACGGACAGTGCCTTTAAAAGTTTGGCTGAATCTCAATTTGTGGTAGTGCACCGCAGTAGAATTATAATTCTGTCTGAGCGAAATAAGCATTGTGTGTGATCTCAATCTTGATTGGGGCCACTAATGGCACATTTCCACAAGTGCCTACGCAGCGTGGCATGGCTCTCCAGGGTATTTTTGCATTTCCACTGGGGGCTGGCCTTACTAAACCGTTCAGCACCTACTTGGTCAGGGTTCTATCAGGGCTGAGCTAGGCCGGTGGCAGACCCTGATTTGCCAGGGAGTCAAAAGATTGCATGGCGACTCCATTGGGTAAACATATATTTTAAAAACGGGGCAACAACGAACATGCTCATAAACTTCTGTGATCATAAAGGTAATTATTGCCCAATACACAAATCAACACTGTGGTTTGGATGGTAAATGATTGCCGCAATGTCGTCCACTGTTGTCTCGCGCTTCTGCCGTGTATAACTGGACTAGTCTCACTAGACCATGCGCCGGTCGGCGTGGCCAGTCTTTCTGCTCGGCTGTGATATATAATGGAAAACCATCTAAACCCTGTAGCGCCGTTACACTTAGGCACTATTGGAGAAAAAATGCCACAATAAAACCAATCTGCGCTCCTCAGAATCCCAGTCTCCAAAACTGTTCAGAACAAGAGTGATGCACTGGAGCAAGTGCTGAAACTTATAAAAAGGGAGCCAGTGTTATTGAGGCATGTAAACTGGAAACTAATTGGGCCAGTCCAGAAACAGATGATCCAGAGAGTGAGAGAATTCAGATCATAAAATTAGGTTCCCATAGCCAATCCTCAGGTTGACCACTCGTGGCAGAGCTAACTGTGCCATGGGAAGTATGCAGAACTCTTAGATGCTATAGTGATACTGCCTTTTTTTTTTTTTTTTTAGTAGGGCTGGGCTATACGGGCCACAACTACTGGACAACTGGAGATGCAACCACCTCCTAGTTCAGTAAATCAAAACTAAAGAAAACATTAACTCGATTCTAGTTTCTGAAAACATGGATAATGAAATATTCAGGCCTCGTCCTTGTTTTCCTAAATCATGAACCTAGTCTAGAACTGGAGGCGATGACTCACATCAATATTGACAGGCTCGATGGTGTTGATATGAACATTGGGGGCGGAGGATGAGCGGTCCCTCTGGCCAAACTGGTTTCGGTGGTCCTCTTCATTGGGCCGGAAGCTAGGCGGAATAGGGATGGACTTGGACGGGGACACAGTGGTGTGGCATATAGACCTAAAGACATGATGATGAAGAATGATAAATAAGAGCTGGTATTAGAAGAAATATGCACCATTTATACTCACTATAACTAAATTGTAATAACAGCTGTCAACGTCTAATCCTTCATTTTGTGTCAATGACAAAGACTGTAGGAGACTCATCTTCCTGCAATGGAGAGGTGGAGAAGGAGAACTCACCCGGTGGAGTCGGATGGCGGGAGGGATGGACAGACCTCAGAGACAGGCGTAGTTCCCTCTGAAGAGACCTCCTCCTGGCTGAATGGGTGATGCTCAAAGAACTTTGACACTAGCAGCAAGCTGACAGCACACAGAAGAGAGGTCAGTTATTACTTGTAGATGATTATTCCTACCATTAAACAGGGTTGTACTGCTACTTTTGGGAAACCATGATAGAGATGTAAAGAACAGAAAACATGATCAGTTCTACAAACAGAAAATTGTAAGATAGCAACACTCTAACTAAACTATGGTGGGTTGAGTTTCACTTCACAATGCTGCTTATTCATTTACTTTCGATACTCCAAAAGAAACATGCTGCTGTTGCTACAGATCAGATCCTCGATCCTTAATGAAAAAAGGTATGAATGACATAATTATGAAGACCAGTCAAAAGCCTTCTCTTCTGCCTCTGACCAGACAGATCCTGCCTCACCATTTTAGTGTAAATCTGCAGCTATCCAGGTCATAGTGATCCTAAGAGCTTGAGCAAAGGCAAGTGGACTTCTTCTCATATATTTTTAAGCCCAACTGCAATTAGCAATAACAGTGGCTATGTGACTTGTTAATGATTACTAAGCCAACTGCCCTGGGTAAGTTCCATAAAATAAATCTATTAACATGCACTGTATTGCCCTCCCCATATTTATATTAAAGAAAATGTGGGGATTTTTCAACCCTTCTGGTAGTAGTTAGCCACTGTGGTCTCAGTATGGAGTACCAAGTGCTTTGTGTCTGGGAAGCTACCCCTAAAAGCTGCTCAAAACAGACCTGTTGGCAAATTATATATTTTTCATCATATGCAAAATTTCAAACACTATAAACCTAAAAAATACACAAAGAAATGTCATAACTGGTTTGAGAGAACACACACACAAAAAGGACAGAAACAGCCTTGGTAAAGAGCTGAAAACAACACTCCAAAAATTACAGTCTCTGCTTGGGCATTTTCAGTTGGTGGAAATAAGCTACTTTAATATAAATGTCATTGAACATGGGTAAAAAATGCTTTCGTTGGGTGAAAGTAGCTCAGCGAAGATAAAAGGTTTGAAAGATCCATTTTAGACTCTAGAAGTTTCCACCTGTAACTGTAGCTCATTCATCAGAAAATCACTAATCATACAAAAACATTAAAAAAAACACTGGTTCTGATTTGTAAACAACACTTGGACAAGATCCTAAATCAATCAAGAAGTGGAAGCCTGTACACACATTACCTCTGCGGACAGCAACATCAAGTTTACAAGAGACGATTAAAAGTAAACCTTTTTTTCAACTGAATTGAAGAAGCCTTTCATCCTCCGAGATCCAAGAAGAAGTCCACATGCCTCTACTCAAGGTCTTGGGATTATCATTACCAAAATACTGAGAATATAAACTATTTTGATTGGGAAATATTAAGACTCACTAAACTAAAAGTGTTCAGCGTCATGTCTCCATGTGACCAGGACTTACTCCAACTGGTCATAGTTGACACACATGAGAGGAACCTCGGTGCTGCAGCGCTGGTGGAACTTGTAGCCACAGGTCTGACAGCGGAAACCCTGAAACAGCAGCTTTCTGCAGAAATCACAGAAGGCCAGCGTGAAGAAGGTCTTCCGCACCTGTTGGACACACACAAACACACGATCAAGCCAAGCCTGCCAGAGTAATACTCACAACTGTTTTACCTTTATCAGGTTTGTCTCAGTGCAAGCTCTGAACCAGGGTTCAGTTTTAAACCAGTCTTAACGGCAAAATAAATGGCTCTCAATCAGTTCATATAATGGGCACAACAAAAAACTCTGAACTGTTCCCAGAGAAGGGCATTACAAAGCCTTTACTTTTCCAGATGCTCGTTTAATTACATTTCTGAAATGACCATCCGTACTTTGATTTCACCATCAGCCATTTAAACTTCCATTTACACATTTTTGGTCCAATCACTGAAACAAATATCCAATCCTGCATCAATAGTGTTGAGCTCTGAGGAAGTTTACTCCCTCCATGAAAACTACTGCTTCTGATATTCAGTCCTATTGTATCTTTTAGTATACGACAGTCTTTTCTCACTATCTTTTTATCTCCTTTTCCCCCATTTCCCTTACTTTTATGTTACTTTTTCCACACAACAGCTCTTTGGAAATTACACTATTGGTGAAAGAATGACTATATTCTGGGAAGAAAACTGACAAAAGGAAAAAAGGGAACAAATTGTGTATTTATTGACAGGCATGAGAAAGACAAAATAGCTATTGCTAAAGACCACTTAAAAAATGACAAGAAAATCTGTCTTTTTGAAACATAAGAAAATAGGAGTAATTTCTTTTAGTTTAATGTTTCCATTGTCCTGTTTTTTGAGGACACCTGTCACCAGTTGAGAGTATGTAAAATAATACTTACAAAGTTGTGTGTGGTGAGTGGTACATTCTCCAACACCTCAACGTGCAGCTCCTCTCCTGTCAGCCAGGAGATATCCGTATCCCAGCCAATAGGTTTCTTCTCTCTGAGAGGGGAAGTTTAGAACGTTGTGGAAGAGGAAGTGGCAAGTTCTGTCAACATTTCTCACTACTGTTGGTTTAACCACCACACAGAAAGTATTGCAGGCCTGACCAAGATGGTTTCCAACTGAAAACCAGCATGTCCTGCTGCCATTGTTTCATTAGTCCTTTGTACATTCAGTCCAGTCAACACACTGTGGCAAAGAATTCAGCAATTATGTAAAACATGGTATGCTGCAAGACTGTTTGTATACTAATAACTAAGAATTTGTAAATTGTAAAATACGATCCGAAGTCTTATTTTGAGATTCGATAAAAACTGGTCGATGCTTCAAAAAAATGAACATTTTTAAAAGTTAACAGACAACTTTCAATGAATGGTCTAAAATGACATGTGAGATACCATGTCATATATTTTTAATGCACATAATTGTCCAAGACAAGACTATTTTTGCTTGTATTTCCCAACCTCACACAATGTTGATTTAAAGGTGAGGTAACTAAAAATAAATCTGGACTAAGATAAAACGGAGAAGAAAAGAGATTTGTAAAGTATCCAGTATACTTATTTAAATGCATAGCCTCTTGTATGTTTCTAGAATTTCTTAATTGACTAATGGAAAAAATAAAATGTGAAGGTATCAAATAGAAAAAAGAAGGTGAAGACAAAAAAACATCCTCCAGACCTTTAGAGAAATTAGACTTGTACGGTCGGCCACCTTTCTGCATGACCCTATGGCTACTATGACGTTTCTAAGGTTCAGAAGAAACACTGATCTGTACAGAACACAAGTAGAACCCATCCCACTTTATGTAGCTGGAGCTGCATTGAGAAAAAGAAAAATATTCCATTGGCTGGATGTGACAAACTCAGTGAAATACTCAAATCCACTCAAGCAGATGGAATTGCTGCAGGGATTGATGTGACAAAGCAACCAATTTGAGTATTGCTCAAATTTAATTTAAAAATGTTTTCTTGATTTTTGATCGATTTTCACACTCTTTCTAGGCATGTCGAGATGATCAATGAAGAACAGTACTGATATTACTGGCTGTACCAGGCTTCAAAATGAGGAGGATGGGAGGAGAGGTGTGAAGCTGGTTTGCATTACAGGTAATGTTATCTGATATATTTTGAGAATTTAGTTGGTTAGAATTTGAATCGTTACCAAGCTATACCCCATATTTGAGGCACATACCAAACTGAGAATTTTACTCTTCTATTAATCCAAACAATAGATACGTTTAAAAACTTGGAACCAATAGTTTTGAATGCTGTAAATAAATACTTGATAACTTTGGTTGATTCTAAGTGAAGCTTAACTAAATATGAAAGGTGACATCTAATCAGTGCCATTGCTGCTAAAATTGTGATCACTTTTAAGTGGCTCGATAACAATTATCAAAAAATTGGTCTTTATAAAATTACTTTATAAAATTGGTAGTCAGCGTCCTTAATCTGATTTGGTACTTCGAGACACTTACCCATCCTGTATCCTGTAGACTGCACAGCACTCTGGAATAAGTCCTCGCATCATCAGAGCTTTCTTCAGCGAGTCCCTCACAGTCATCCCACATCGGGCCGGGACCTGAACACAGCATAACACTTTTTACTGAACTGGTTTGGCCAACAACTGGGAAGAAATGAGCTGAAAAAAAAAAACACACTGACACACCGACTCAGATTATGACATTTTCAGCTGTAATGAAAGAGTGACGGTCATTTTTTAAACCATTAGACCTGACTAATGAAGTTTGCTGGAAGCACAGCTTTATCTGGAGCTTGTAAATGAGGAGCTCATTCTAAAAGAGGTCACCTACATTCAAACGTTTGCAAGAACGTGACTGAAACTGAACCTACAGAGAGTCAGCAAACTGACAAAACTTTTCTGTATACTGAGAGTCAAGCTGATGTAGACCTGTGCTTGTTTTCATTGGGGCTGATCCACATGGTACTTATCTACCAAGAACAAAGTATAAGTTAGTACATGATGAGCACTTTGTTTGTTTTAGTATGTTTTTCTATTGCTAGTTTAGATTAAATTAAGAATACTTTCAAAAACATCCAGCATGGGCTCTTCAGCAAATGGTCTTATTTTCACAAAATGGACTGAATCAAATGTTACACCAGAGACAGAAATAAACAATCTGCCCTCTGTTTTAGAAACTGTGCTCAAGTTGTTTTTACAGAGCCACACAGCCAGATCCTAAGAAGGCAAAGCTGATCCAGGTCAGCATACACTCTCAGATCCTCTAGTTTAATAAAATGACAGTGGAGATTCAAAATAGAGTCTGCCTCTAAGTCTAAGGCAGAAACCTGAAGGCCTTGGGTTGTCTCAATGGGCCTTCTTATATGTTATGCGTTTCAATCATTAGCATTCCGTAACATTAGCTAGGTTCCACCAAGAGCTATGCAATGAGTTTTTCATTCACTAATTCAATCCTGCCTAAAGGCACTTTTGATAAACAGAACCTCGGTGGATCAGACGTCCAACCCCTATATGATCCTCGTTCAATCCTCATGTCCCAAATATCACTGGAACCAGCAGTCAGCACATTCTATATTACATAGGGTGGCATACTTTTTTAACACAAAAATAGACAATTTTTATTTTCTTACTGTATTAAAAATGTTAATACATTAAACTCTCTCTGTGAATTCAGAATACCACACATACCACTGTTCTCTGCTTGTTGGGCAAGAAGACCCTGACAATGGGCTTCTGGGGGGAGCGAGGGTTGCCTCGACCAGTATCAGTAGGAGTTTGCAGAACAGTCAAAGTGTTGGGGGCTGTGGGAAAGGCCTGAGCTCCTCCAACGACTCCGCAGCCTCCCATTTTGACTTCCAACAGGGCTGGCATGGGAGAGGGGGCGCAGGAGAAGTCAGCGCCGTTCCCCATAGCTTCAAGCAGCTGCTGTTCTCTCTGCTGCAGGGCGTCCAGTTTACTGGTGTACTCCTCATAGGCCTAGTGGGGATCACAGGACAAATAGGACTGACTGAATGTCTACAAAAGTACAGGTGGCATCTCCTGAGTTAGATTTGTTTGTAATAATAATTCCATAAATTCAAACCACTCTTACTTCCAGATATATGGAGGGAGGGTTATGTTCTCCTCCAAACTTGTCCAGTAGAGCCTCCAAGTGTTCCTGTGTCAGCTTTATCATCTGTTTGATGTTCCAGATCTGCAAAGAGAGATGCACCGGAGTGCTGAGTGTTATCACAGTGATATCATTCAGTTTCAAAACAGTTTTTGGTTCAATGAATGGCGCTTGTCATGCTAAAGGCTGAAATTCTGCAATCCAATCAGTACTTAGCCACAGTTTTGTAACAAAAGCAAGGAGAAAAATTAGTGTCAGTTGACCCCCCCACACACACACATTTCTTTGCCAATTTTTTACTCTAAGAGTACACATGTGCTGTATAGATATTTTTCATTGACATAACCTTGTCAACAGTGAAAGGAATCAGAAATTGTGACTTGAAAGTGGAAGATTAAGATTAGGAAATATCACCCACAATTAATCTGCCCAGGTTTCTGCCCAGAGGCTCCACCTCTATGAATTGACCTCTGATAAGCAGAAGAAAAGTTCTAAATGGATGGATTGTTGGATGTGGTAGAGGCAGAGAGCAGGAAAAAGACTTCACTTTTTGGAGGCTAATGCTAGCAATGTTTGTAAAAAAAAATTGTCTGCGAAAATTTGGTGAAAAATAAGAACAGATTACTGACTGTATTAAACAAAAAAAACATCAGCAAAATCTGATTTGTGGCCTAAGAATGTAAGAGCATCTCATCAATGTTATCTGAAGAGTTCTAATTAATAAATATTTAACATTAATAAATGATTTGAGAAAAAGCAAAAAAAAAGCACTTTCATCCAAAAAGTTCCAAAAACACAGACACACTTTAATAATTCATAATAATCATAATCATGTTGATGTATTCAAATCATATGTATACATAAAATGCTAATACATGTATCAACATTGTTACATTTAATAATGAATAAATAATATTACTATAATTGAACACTCCTCTTTCATAATCTTTCCATGAAAGTTTTCACTTATATTGAAAGTGTAATCAGTTTCGATCCATCTATATGAAAACGAAAGCTTGTCAGTGTGTGGGTCATCCACTCTGCATTCCTAACCACTAAATTTACACATCTTTAAAATTGTGGTATTTTTCAATGTCTCAAGACAATTCTGGGAACTTTGGATAGAAATCAATACTTGGGTCAGATGGTCAGAACAAAACTAGACAATTCTGTGACATCCTTAGAGCCATCTTATTTTTTACTTCTAACCTGTATAAACTAGGCTGGTGCTTATACACTTGTTTCCAAAAAAGTTAAACTTCTTCTATTAACCAAACAGCCGATGACCACATACCAGAAGAACTGGTTGCTGCAAAATGCTAAGCTGACTAACAATCATCAGATGAGTAAATTGGTGCTGATTTACAACCTTAATGTTCAATGTGCCTGTAGACAGTTGCTCAGCTCAGCAAAATCAGCCTGTTGTTTTTACCAGATGGCCTTATTCAGTGTCCTTTGATTTACAGTCAAGGCAAACTTAATTGGCGTAGGTCATAGAACACATTAAAGCCTGGGCAACTAAGATATTTAAACAAAGAAAATTCCAACAGATGTCTTTTTCATGCTGAAAAAAAAAAAAAAAGTAAAAGCAAATGCTGAAAAGTCTGGATGTATGGTCTTTTATTTATACTGGGGTTTCTCAGTATAATTAATACAACTATTGTAGCTTTATAAAGGTTTATAGCAATATTTCTAAAACTGGTATTAAACTTTTGTAATAGAAACTGTAAGCATGGACGACACAGCAACTAAAGTCTACTTTACAGCTGATCTGTGTGAGCAGAGTACTGACTTTTGGCACAGTTAAAATGATATGAAGGCTTTGTTATTTCCATAAAATGCAAAAACCCTGCTCCAACTCACTTGATAAATGGAACATGTAAAATAGCTCGAACGGGTGGCCAAAATGTTTGAACCTATGTCGCTCCCTAAAAATGTTGCCGAAAAATACAAACTTCGGATTTTTAATGCCGTGAAATTATACCAATCCATTTGGTCCTCTATAACTTACAGTAGGTAAAGAGGAAGCAATCCAACCTTCTTCTGAATTTGTTAGTACAATTAATTGCACAACGGCTCCTCGACGTTTAACAGCCAATGGATGTTCGGATGTGTGTTTTTTCTTAAAGTAGCGTTAAAATTACACTATAGCCGCATGTCTGGCCCCTTGACCTGCAAGAGATTCTATTTTCAGGTGAACTAACTGCAGTCATCAGATATTTATCATCTTTAAGTGTAACTAACTTGTAAATTATTTAAATTATCAGTTGGTATGCATTCACTTAATGATAATGTTGCTTCTGCTCAACACTTATTGGAAGAACACCAGTTTTCATTTATACATCCCTGTTGGTAAAGCTATTTAAATAGTGTGTTAACTTATAGTAAAAAAAACAGAATTTCTCAATGGGGCTTAGCCCTTTTCAATTATCACTTTCATTAAAAGGTTTTTCATACAGGGCTGTACTGTGGTGTGGTGGCTAGCACCATCGCCACACAGCAAGAAAGTTCTGGGTTCAAGTCCCTGGGGGAACCAGGGCCCATCTATGTGGAGTTTGCACGTTCTCCCTGTGTCTGCGTGGGTTCTCTCCGGGTTCTCTGGCTTCCTACCATTGTCCAAAAATCTGCATTTTAGGTTGTTTGGACATTCCAAACTGCCCTTAGGAGTGAGTGTGCCTGGTCGTTCGTCCTTGTGTGTCTCTGTGTGGACCGGCAGACAGTCCAGGGTGTACCCCGCCTCTCACCCATTGACTACTGGGTTAGGCTCCATTAGGGAATAAGCGGTTACAAAAATGGATGGATGGGTTTTTCCCACAAACTGGCTGTGTCCCAATCACTAGGAGAAATAAAGAAAAATGATAAATCTGTGCTGTGCATTTCAAAAGTAAAGGTTGCCTTTAAGTTTAGCATGACGTTGTTGAGTTTACTGCCTTGAGAGCATTCAAGAAGAAAAAAGAAAATTGGGAGAAAATGTACTGTTTGCCATCTAAACTACACTACAAGCAACATTTGAGTCAAAGAAGTGTAAAAGGCTCCAGAGTGCTCCTTCTGCCATCAAACATTTTCACGCACGATGGACTCATCAGAGGCACCATGGGATTCAGTCTTGCCCAAGGACACTTCAGACAAATCATAACTCCTGAATAAACAAAATTTCCAAAATTCTTTATGGCTTTTCTTTTACTTGACAAGATTTTGGAAACTCCAAGCTACTCACCAACATCATTGAAAAAGCCCTGAGTTGTTAATTAAAGCTCCAACTAATTCTAACGCTTTAAATATAGTACATTGTCCTAACATGTTAAAACCTTGTTGAAAAAGTGGTGTGCCTTTTTTTTGCCAAACATTTATCATCAAGTGTAACTTTGAGCTATCTGCACATTTTATTGTAAGAGTACATAGTAGACTTCTAAAGTGTAAATAAATTAAAATAAAAAGTCTGCTACCTTTAGCATGATAATAAAAATGGCGATGTATGTGTTTTACAATTAGCAAATATGTTGGTCATTAGTGTTTCGTCTACGAATGTATACTGTTAGTTCAATGAAAGTCCTAAGAAGACTAGGTTTTATGTAAACAATTAGCAGGAACTAGTATCCGATTTGTGGAATGAGCCTGTACAGCTTTTAACCGAGTTAGCCCTACATTCAGGATGCCATTGGGAGTTTTAATGCCGTGTCAATTATTTTATTTCTAAAAATTCCACAAACTCCTGTAACGTGGAACATTCCTCTCCATTCAAAAGACAGTCAATTTTTTTTATATATGTGCATTTTATATTTAAGTTTATTTACAATATGCCAAAAGCAAGATATAATTCCCATGAATAATTGCTATAATTGACACCTATTTTCACAATTAGTCATGCTTTACAAGTATATCGTTCCTATAGATCTTACATCTGCTTCTCCTGAATATTTTGTTTATATTTCCACAGTTTTCACAGTCCCCATCCCCAATTTTAATTACATTTATTTCGATACACGGTTCTCTTATAACAATTCAGGGAAATCAAGAATAAAATCCTTTTCAAACAGTCTAAGAAAAACAAAATAATTGTGGTTTTAACAAGTTGTTTAGACAAGGTAATACTCAAGTTAAAAGGAAAATCCAAACTTTGAGCTTATTCAAGAATTGGTAGGCAGAGAAATGTGCCCGTTCACATTCCAGTGGAATCAGACGCTTCGAGTACTCTGATTGATCTTTACAAAGACAACTAGCAATAATTCGAAAATTCTATTCAACAACTAGTTCAGTCTACGTTTAAGTTAATTTGAGAGGTGAAAGAAAAGATTTTAAGCCACGTCACCATATAGTGGCCCTAAACTATTCCTCTTGAAAGAAATTCTACAGTTAAATAAGTACAACTTTTATATGGAGAACGGTATCCTCTTTTAGGTATTGCAACTGTAAACACTTCAATGAAGGGATGGATATCAAATATTCATATTACACAACCTGGTGAAGAATACTGTAAAAGTTGCAGTATGGGGTCAATTCTGCCCACCAACTTTGTAACTTAGTCTTCAAAAAGTATGTTCAGCCAGAGGCTTCTTCAACTCCTATGAAAAAAAACTCACAGATCAGCCCTGGGCCCAGTAATAACTTTGCACAATGTTGTTTGTGATTATGACCATGTTGACTCATTATGCTGCTAAATCATTTATTCTTTAATCAATAAAGCATGATTAAGGAAACAAAAATCAATACACGTCTTCCACTTTCAGTCTCAGAATGTAACTCAAGTACAACTTAAGTGGACCGACCAATAGTTCCAACATTGGTTTATTCATCACTAATAGAGTTATCAAACTAGCAAATCATTTTTGATTGTCATTTGTCAGAAATTAGGTTTAACTACCCATCCACAGCATGGCTGTTTCTATCAAAGTTGTTTGTATCCCAGGGGTAACACACAGACTACCATCAGAATGCTGAAGACAGGAGTCTTATAGTCAGTCAGTAACAGTGAATGAAACGTCAATATAAGTTCATAAAACTTATGACACTGTAAAAGTGCCATAAAAGGCAGATACTGCATTGCATTGCTAACAAATAAAAAATGAAATATTCAATTAACGCTAACTTAAATAAATAAGAAAACATGAGACCCGTTCTTAGAGGCTCGGACACTGATCTGTCAACCTATAAACTACCTCTTCCTCAAAAAGTAAAAAAATGAGATGTACATTCCAGGTCATTTAACCATTAATAAGAGTGGCTCTAAGCAGTGCGTGCACATCAAAAACAGGTTTGAAAATATTTGTCCGGCTATTACCGTCAGGATGCAATGTCTTAGGGGTTCTCACCTTTGTAAGAGCATTGAAAAAAAAAACAGAATCTATAATTTGAATACTGTAATTATATCACACATTTAAAAAAAAAACTCTGTGAAAGGCATAAATTCCTGAGAGTATTTCCCATACTAGAGACCAGAAGGTCAGGAAATTGACTGCATGGCTTTTTAGTGGTATTGTACCAAAAATAAAATGACAATGCATTAGTTTAAATTGCATCTACTACAAAGCTCTACTAAGTTAAATAGTGTGCTAGCATAGTCTACTTTGCAAGAAATATATACCATAACAATAACAAAGTTAAAACTGTGTGATGAGGACATATTTTGGCTCTGGAGAATTTAATGTTTGGATGCTGAAATGGAGTCAGAGTGTACAAGTTCAAGAGGACCAATCAAAACAAGAATTTCTCTGTTTGAATCCATTCAGTCATTATATGTTGCAAACTTCTTCTTATTTTTAGGTCTGCTGTTTAATGGAGGCTGCTGTCATGGTCCAGCGGGGAGGCCTCTGACCTGTAGACGGACAGCTAGGCTACATGGTCTCTGCATTAACTGATGACACTGCCTGATGATGCTTCCCTGCTGTGTGCCAGTTGAACCTGGGGGAGCTGGTTGGTTGTAAAGACTATAATGGCTATCAAGGTATCATAAGGCTGTATGACACCACAGGTATCACAAGCACGACTTCAGCTTATCTCCCATCTCCATCACTGTCACCACCACCATCATCATCATCATCATCATCACCACCACCACCATCATCATCATCATCATCACCTCTGATGTGAGGAGCCTAAGTGAATGGGTGAGAGGAAAACTTTCACCACTGCAGAATCCACTCGCGTGCATTGGAAAAAACGCAGTAATTGCGTGTCTTTGTTGTGTCAATAGCAGTACGTGTGCTGCTAGCGCACCAGGCTGCGGCTGCAGTGAGCCTGGAAAAACGAAGCCAGCAGCGAGTGGAATAAAGCAGGCCCCGAAATAAACACGGGCTCCGCCGTAACAAAACGTTATCCTCCCGTTCGCGTTCGTCCCCCTCAATATTTTTTGACCGTTTTTAAGAAAACTCCGAGGGCTACCGGCGGCCTAGGCCTGAACGAATCGTCCGCATTTAGTGCATCGCCTCGCGACCCTGCGCGGTATCCCCCCCTTGCGCTCCGTCTCACAGCCGGTGTTTCCTGAACATTTACATCCAATTGCCTCCGCTCGGAGCCAGCGTCCCCCCCCCCCACCTTTGCTCAGCTAGGTCCCGCTACCGAGCCGCCGTGGTGCTTACCTCCTCGTCCTGGGGGTCTCCGGGAATGCCCGACGAGCAAGACGAGTCTAACCCCGCGCCCAGCTCGTCCAGGCCCGGCTCCCGCTCCGTGGTGTCTCCGTTAAAGACGGGCGGTGGGGACTCGGCGCTGCTCAACGCCGCCATTTTAAACTGCGAGAAACTGTGTGGAAAATAATAGAGGGGGGGGGGGGGGGGGGGTGGGGGGGGGGCGCAAGCTGGTGCTGAGGACAGGAGGGGGAGACAGAGACGCAGGATGATCACGACGGTGCTCCCAAACTTCTTTACCCAATGTCCCAAAACGGAGTATTATTTTTTTATTTATTATTTTTTGTTTTTTGTTGTTGTTATCTAAAAAAAAAAAGTAAGTAAAAAAAGTCAAGTAAAGAAGTAGTGTAATGTATTCAGGATCTTTTCAATTTGTTGCTTCCACAAATGTTAACATTTTCGACATGTTTCAATTCATGACTAATACATAAAGACAAAGTTAAGTGGTTAAATGAATATGTTTGACTTATTGTTAATTGTTAATCAATTATAGTGTGTCATGGAAACAGATAGATACATTACTTTATTTATCCCTGACTGGGAATAATGCAAAAAGGCAGGGTGGTAAATTGTGTAAATACTTGTTTTGTAAATGGTGGGGCTACCTAAAAAAAATACCCCACTCAACAATTCACTTTATCCTCAAACTTAACGGCAACAGGTAGGCTATGTTTAACTGTAGTTTTACATGGTTTTTAGGTAGTTTCTGAGTGTGGATCAAATCATGGGATGAGAATCAGGTTATTATTTTATCCTACAGAATGACTTCCACAATTAAGATGTTAAAGTAATATGTTTGACTTGTAATCAATGACAGTGTGTCATGGAAACAAATAAATTATTTTATTTATCCATGGGGAATAAGGCGAAAAGGCAGGTTGAAATTTGTGTAAACAATTGATTTAGTAAATGTTGGAACCTTACAGTATGAAGAAGCAACTTTTAATTTATTTGCCAATGCCTACTGCAAATGCCTACTTTCAAGGCCTTGAGCCTGTCCCATGACCATCAAGGTTTTGGAAGCACATAACAGGTCACAAAGTCATCACAGGAAGACACACATATAAGACACATTAGATCAACAATTCCCCTTAAATGTATCTTTTTGGAACTTGTGTGCCAGCGAAATGTACAAACAAAGTCTACATGGAAACACTCCAACTAGGTTTTGAACCAGAATTCTTCATTCTGTGAATAGGCAGTCTTAGCCACCACTCCACCATGCATAAAATGTCATATTATTTTTTTTTTTTTACACAGGAGAAAAATGCTAGTCAAATACAAGTGGAACATAAGAAATAAATTCAGAAATCTGTCCAAAATTGCGCCACCCAAGAGGCAAGCAGCCTGGTGCAAAAGCTCTTGACATCCTGTTCTCAGCAACCATAGCAAAGAAACCCAGACTTCCCTCTCCCCTGCCACTTTTGCCAGCTCCTCCAGGGGATCCCAAGGCGTTCCCAGGCCAGCCGAGAGACATAGTCCCTCCAGCGTGTCCTGTGTCTTCCTCTGGGCCTCCTTCCAGTGGGATGTGCCTGGAACACCTTAGGCGACTGGGAGGTATCCTAATCAGATGCCTGAGCCACCTCAACTGGCTCATCTCAACGTGGAGGAGCAACAGTTCTACTCTGAGCCCCTCCCGGATGGCTGATCTTCTCAACCCATCTCTGGGGGAGAGCCCAGCCCATCTGCGGAAGAAAACAATTTCGGCTGCTTGTATACGCAATGTCGTTCTTTTGGTCACTACCCAATGTTCGTGACCATAGATGAGGGTAGGAACATAAATCGACTGATAAATTGAGAACTTCGGGAACCACTCCAGCCAGGGCTGTAGATCAGGACTTGATGAAGCCATAGGGCTACATCATCTGCGAAAAGCAGAGATGCAATCCTAAGGCCACCAAGAAGGACACCTTGGCTTTTGAAAGTGTCCATGGAAGTTATGAACAGAACGGGAATGGGAAACCTTGATGGAGTCCAACTTTCACAAGTCCAATTTACTACCGATGCAGAAATCGCCAAATGCAGATGCCACAAAAATGTTGTTTAACCCAGAGCAAATATATTTTTTTAAAACTAAGGTCTACATGACAGAATATTATGCCTCTAAATTCAAGCTAAATGTGGTTTCCTTTGGTCCCAAACACTTCAAAGAGGCTTTCTACTTATACAATTAGTCTATATGGCCTTTCCTTGGGCCTTGTAGTTTATTTTTTCTACCAGAATCTGTCCTTCAACTTCCATACAAAACAGATGTCTAGGATTGTCTTCTTTCTAGAATTGTTTTTTTTTTACTTCAAATTCACATCAAATGTTATATGTCATGGAAACAGATGATTAATGTAAAAAAACAAGGTGGCTCAGATTATACCGTTATACTGATCGGTTTGTCGTCAACAATCACGCTTTGGACAAGAAAATTATTGTATTTTTCCCATACTCACTGTTGCACTAAATAAAAATTGTTTTCAAATGATCATGGTAATATAATCTAAAATTGCCCCACACATAAAAAAACAAACATACACACTCAATCATAAAAGTAATCCAGAATATTCAGGCAGGAAAATCCATCCAAGTTAAATTGCCGGGGAAAGATTTTTGTTCCGGCCATGACAAGCTCAATGAAATTCTTGCAGATTTAACACTTAACAAACTTGTATTAGGAATTTTGCTGCCAGACCATTTATTTCAAAGAGGATGATAGCAAAAATATTTTTTGAAAGAGGAGATTGTCATAGATTTTATTTTTTAAAAGCTTTTTATCTAGCAGATGAGCTGAATTGTGAACAGGCTTCAACATATATATTCTTTGATAACAGTGTCTAAGGTAATGTACCGTACAGTCTTGTTACATGGTACATGCCACTATCTTGACTTTTCCTATTTTTAACTCATTTGAAATTGTTTGTAGGAACCACACATGTACAAATTGAAGACATTTAAAGAAGACATGATTCATGAATTAAATTCTTGTAATGTTATGACAGACTACAGAATAATTTATTTAGCAGTGTCCATACATAATCCATGTGACTATAATTTTTTTTAACTTAGCTAACTATAGTACTTGCGTAGTTCACCTTGTTTCCCCAAATACATTTATAGTTCTTATCTCGAGGTTCATTCATAGAATATTTTGTCAATTGTGGTAAGGCAGTGAAGAGAAACAACTGTAAAGTGGCAAAAAGTGTATTCAATAGCAGTATAACTTTCTGTGTATTTACACAAAGCACCTGCTCCATGATGGATGGATCAATGGATCAATGTGTAAATGAGGTAGCATATTGAACATGGTATGAAAACTAAAAACTATTTTATAGTAGCTAAAAGGAAAGAGGTGTATTACGTGAGACAGGACATCTTTACTCTATGCAAGCAGAATACCTCTCTAAATTAGTTTAGTTTATGGCACTGCACATTCATCAATGGCTTTCTTTAGACAACACAAAGGGTGGATGCTTCAATTCATTTTTCAGAAATTCTGTATGGTGTAAAGCTTTCATTTTGTCATACGACATGGTTTAGATTTAAAAGACCAGCATCTGTTTTTAGAAATGCCAGAAGCACACAATAAAAAGTTTTATGTTGCCTTCTGATTTGCTATCTGACTTGGTAAAGTATTGTTGAACACTAAGATGGTAGCATTTGTCCACTACAACAGACATAGAACATCTACAATATGCGATGTGCTGATCTAAGGTGTTATTCAAGGTGACATAGAAAGCCACAGACAAAAAACTGAGTTCTGAGTTAAATATTGCACTTTATTTCTTTTTGCCAGCCCTCTTCCCCTCTCCTTTTTTAGGCGTCCCTTTTCCTCTCAGCTTCCTAAGGCGCCGCATCTCGTCCTTAAAGTCTTCATGCTCATCTCTGGAAAAGAAAAGACAAAGAATTGTGTGTAAAAGTACTGAACAACTGCTTACTGTTAATTGTGCAACAGTAAGTTAAACTACTCATGTAAAGGACAGATGTTTCACAACCACATAATCTTATAAGCCTTATGTATTGTTGTGATATATTACGGAAATACATTAAGGAAAAAGCTACTTATCTTTACTGACTCCGAAGCACAAAAAGGGAAACATACCTACCACCATGACACCTATTTACTTAACACTGTGTTTGCCAATCAAACAACTGTGATATTCTAAAGAGATCTGAGCAAACCTGCACTTTAAGTTAGACTCAAATCATCAAGATTAGAAATTGAGGATATTTCTTTCCAAAAGCTTGTTTATTGGCAGGGGAATACACATGAAGCACAATTTTAGTGATGTCTAACAAGACACATAACATAACAGATCATGTTTTAGCAAAAGGTCGACAAGCTGCAATATTACAGTACCTGAACAGGCCCATGAACCTGAGCTTCTGGGTCATGGCGTAGTAAATCTTGTGATGAGGGTACCAGTCATATACTTCCTTCCTTTTGGCCATAGGAGGGTCTTTAAAGAGCTGGACCACTTTCATCGACTTGGAATCTGTTGGACGCACAACTTCTCCAAAAATACGTGAGCTGAGCCTAGCCATGCGGACTGCATAGCTGGAAAAACCTGCCATGACTGAGGATGAAAGGGGATGGGTAGATTTTAAATTTTCTTTTGCACAATTGGGACAGCAAGCATGAAAGAGGACTTTCTGGACTCCACAGCTATAAAAGAAACCCTGCAATTAATTGAGTAATATGACTGCTTAAGACGGGAGTATGTGCAGTGATGGCCGCATCATTGTCTGGAAATTCATTCCCATCAATATTTTTTTCCTTTTTATGAGTGTGGATGTGCTGTCTGTAATGTCAATTTAATTTGTTAATTTATTTTTTCTGTGTAAAAAAAAAAACAAGAGAGAGAAAACCGTTTCATGGTGTAGAAATAAGTCGAATAACCTATGGTTTACTGGTTTCTAAGCAGTCAGAGAATGTAATAATCAACCACTTTTAAGGTTCCATAAGAGCTCAGGTAACTTTAAATGTCAAGAAATACAGGGCTTGAAAAATAGGAATAGAAATACAAATTTTTGTTTCTTCCTCGGTTTGTCATCACTGCTGACATATCTTCTACTCTTTATGTCACCTAACATGCTCTTTAACTGATCCCTCTTCATGTGTTCACTGCCCTAGGAGAGATAAGACAGGTTACTTACCAGAGCCTGCAGTCCGTGATCTGGGACCACCTGCTGTTTAACGGCAGCTGCCGGCAGAACTAGCCAATCTCTGCCAGAATTAAAATGATGCTTAATTTACTGGACTTCAAGGAGCACTAACCTTCTCATAAGCCAGCTCCTTTCACAAGTCCTTTCACGCAGCACACGAAGGTCTTCTGCTTCCGCTTCACAATCTTCTTCTACGGTGTAAAATTGGCAAGCATCCACGTAAGAGAAGCAACACCGCCCCCTTCTGGTCTGGAATATGAAACAGCTCCACTAGTGCCGCTCAATTGTAGTCGAACTAACAAATACAAAAGAAGTTAGGCGACGTAACAGAGCAAAAATTTATTCCCTCCATTCGCCAGAATAAATTGATATTATCATATGTATTTGTAAAACAGGTTCTGTAGAGCTAATGACTTTACCCAGATTAGGGCCACAAGTGCCATTTTCCTGACAACTGCCTTGGGGATTTGTCCACCCCTTCAATATATTCTCCATCTCATTTAATAAAATCAACTTTCACTAACACAGTGCTGTAATTTCACTTTAATTTAATTAAAAGGATGTCAAGTATTATAGTTGGCACTTGGAACATTTATTTTGGGGGATATTGGCCATATATTGGAGTGATAGTTGGCTGTGACGTGTCTCCAAATGCTGGAGAGTTATGCTGGATCTTTAATGCTGTATTCTCCAGCAAGGAGTTGAAGGGTTGATCGTATTTTCTTACAAGACTTTTAGCTTGAATTTGACTCATTTAACTTTCCCATGTGCAATTTTAAAAATTTGTCAAACCAACCAAAATTGATCGAAATATGATTGTAACACAATCAATCATCTCATTTGTTGGAGACGCAGGCAGCTGGAGCTAGGTGGCATTGTTGCCTCACAGCAAGAAGGTTCCAGGTTCAAATCCATATGGGGATATTTCTGCATCCACCTTTTGTGTTGTTTGCAGTTTGCATGTTGTCTATGTGTCTGCATGAGTTGCCTCTAGGTATTTTGGATTCTTCCCATTGACCAAAAAGAGGTATGTGAAGACTCCAAATAGTTTATTTGTCTATTTGGGGCCCTATGATAGACAGGTGACTTATATCCAACCTCTTGTCAAATTGCAGCTAGGATAGGCAACATTGAAGCAAAAATAATAAAAAATAATGACTGGCTTTATGGAAACTCCTTGTAGGATCCCATTTTTCACCACAAAGTTGTGATTGATTTAATTTATGTCTTTTCTACAGGAAATAGGGTAACTCTTTAAAAATTGTTTACATGGACTGAAACCTTTGAGAAACAGACATTTAGTTTGATAAAAATCAAATTGACAGATGAAACAAGAAAAAAATACTACAAATGGTAGCCAGCCCTGGCTACCAGTTTAAATCGTGTAGACTAAGCTCTTTCAGAATCTTTACAGTCAGTTCTGTGAATGTCTTTTGTCGTTTGTTTGTTTGTTTTTTCTCCAAAACATTTCAGATTTTTTCCTTAAAAAACAGGTGCATTGTCGTGTTGTGTTGTTGCAGCTTATTAACACGAGAGGGAGCCAGATATGTACACACTTGAAACTACAGTCATAGATTCTTCTGGATGTTTTTTCGGTCTTATCATTTACACCCTGATCTTGTTTTATATTTCTAATCTAGAATGAAAATAAACATTTGGAGACACATTTTGAACAAAAAATTTGATTTTCACCAGATCAGTAATCCTATATTAAATCGATTTTATTATTTTTTAAACTGCATACAGTACCAGAGGCTGCATGGTTTGTAGCACTGCTGTATAGGAAAATGTGTAAAATGAAAGAGGATGCCTGGTATAAATCATCATTGGGGTCTTTCTGACTAGAATTAGTATATTTTCTCTGTTTAAGCGTGGGTTAACTCTGAGTGTTCTCGGTTGATCAAAACACCAAAGAACAAATAGATTTATACCTGATTCTGGAATAATTCTAGGTGTGAGTGTACATGGATGTCTCCCATTTGTCTCTGTGATGGACAGGCAGTCCAGGATGTTGCCTCTTTCAAGGTGGCAGAAGGTAAAGACTCAAGCACACTGTAAAACCAAGAACTGGACTGTTATTTACCTAAAAGTCTATTTATGTTACTTTTATTCAAATAGAGATCTATATCAACCCTCCCATTATTCTTTTAAAACCTCTTAAAACAGGTGTTACAAAACCCCTAACTGTTACTTAGTAATTGGTATTCTATATTCTTTCAACTTCAGACTAAGAACTGTAGTCTAAACTTGCCATGTTAAATCTCACTGCTGCTTTTTACATTGCCACAGAATTTTAATACATTCATATGGTATGGTTTTTATCTGGGGTGTTTGGAATAATGGAACCACACTCTTTTAGTTAAGGCTGGATCTTTGAGAAAGATTCCAATTTGGCTATGCAAATTATGAGTCTCCCTATCATAGCAATTAGTCATTTGGCTCAGAGAGAGACAATATCTTTGCATAAGGCTTTTCCCATTGTTCAGTCTGTTCTTATGTGTTTAGGTAATGTGTCAATGCCCAGTGTTTTGTAATTGACACTCACCTATACTTGTCTATGAGGAACGATGAAATGTGTCAGCTGGTGAAAGAGAAGCATGTCTTTAAACACAGCTGATTTCCATTGTCATTGTTGGGGTACAGTAAACAGAAAGCATGTTTACAAGAACAATTTTACTTCAGTAGTGTCATTTGAAGTCAATTTTCTCTGATTATGATTCTTCCAACTCTATCACAGAATGTGGACACTTAAAATATCTAAGATCACTGGTATTCAGAGAACTAGCATGGTCGTATTTACATTTTTACTTTTAAAAGTCTGGAGAGGTTTCCTCTTTAATCAAATCTGAAAGTAACTTGTATCTCTATGACAGTCTGGTCCCTGCTGTGTTCTCTTTGCGGTTTCCCTCGGCAACATTATTATTAGTTTCATGAAAATCTAATTCCTGCCTCATCAAAACGTCAGAATATCAGGAAAGAAATATGTCAAAAATGCCCCTGTTTCTTTTTGTTTTCTCTGCACCTTCAGTGGGTTGATGATAGAATATAAAAAACACTCACAAAAATGAATTTCACTCACACGTGTACTCTGCACTCACTTTTACCTTACGTCCACACGTCTAAATGACAAGAAAAAAAAGAAATGTTATTTTAGGAAAAAAAAAGAAAAGAAAAAGGAAAAAAAAAAGAAAAAAGAAAAAGAAGGAAAAAAAAGAAAAAAAAGGACCAAAAAAAGGGAAAAAAGGGAAGAAAAAAAAAAGAATTGTTAATTATGTTTTTAAGTGCAGTCTGTCACTCAACTTGATGTTTAACTAATTTTACCCGCATGTTTAGTTTTACTCTCACACACATTTGATGTTCAGAACGAAGCAAAAAATATTACCACTTTTGATATACAGTGAATGCAACATCATATCTGGTTGAAACTGGGTGGAGGTGCAGAAGGGGGGAGGCCTGATGGCTTTCTAGTGCGAAGCATGTTACCCCCGAAAGTATGAGCAGTGAACGGACATTATCAGATTTACAGAGCCTAAAATTAAACATTGGAGCATTTTCTATAGTGCACTCTTGAGTTGGTAGTGATTTTAGACACCCAATTACATGCTTTCAACCACAGAGAGCCTTATTTCCATAACGGGCCCCATTCAGTGTAATACTTTGACATTAGTACTGAGCTATACTGGAGCAACTTCTGTACAAACCACTGTGGGCAAGATTTAGCACTCTATGCAAAGCCTTTTTTACTATGAAATCTTATCAGAGAAAATTGTACTCTTGATGACTTTCCATTTTCTGGGAATTTTTGTTTTTAAGCATAAGGACTTCTGATCTAACAGTGGAAGTTATCAGAGCTGCAGAGGTCTCAGCTAAAATGATCACATACAGACAAACATACATATTGACGAATGATCTGCATTTGTGACACTTTAGTTAACGGTGGGTTTAAACATGTTTGTACTTTGCTTGTTACTTTAAAAAGATCAGGTGCCTTTCAAAGCTCGGTAACAGAACTCTCCCTGATTTGTAATAAAGTTTTCACAAGTGTAAGAGAGTGTTATGTTACAAAACAGACCATTACAAATGACCATTTTGGTAATTTACAACAGATTATTTAAAATAAGATATTTAATGTAAAAACTGCTGCAATATCTACATGCCATTTTTTTGTATTCTTATGGTGTTAAAAAATGCAAGGAAGCAAGTTATCTGCAGGATGTTAGCAAAGCACAGCACCAAGAGGTCCTTGATCTGAAAAGGCCATATAGACGGAAAGTATTTTGTCATCATCATCATCATGACATAGTTAACTTTTCTTCTCATTAAGCCTTGTTCTGTCTCATTCAGGGCGCTGACGACTGGCGTTCTCACATATATGATTGTCAGTCCATTTAAAAACAAAATTAAACACATACCAGTTATTATACCAAAACCATATAAGAGATTGTGCTGTTTTCATGTGTGCCACCAAACACTGTGTGTGTGACTTTTTTCCATTAGTGGAAATTACAACCATTGCTAATACCAGTACACACCACATATTATCACTATAAAGTTATCTCATATCCTTATTTGACTAGGCTTAAGCTGAATAACGTGGAAGTACTGATGGTTGGAATGTAGACTGTAGGATTAGCAGTGGTCCAGTCTTACAATGCTGTGAGGCCACATGATAGATGCCCATGCAATGTTTTGACGTTAAGGATTTTTTTCACGTTCATGTTAATCTAAGTAATACTTGTGACTGTTAGCTCATTAGAAAATCTATAAATCAATCAAACTTGTAGACTTAGGCGTGCATCTCCACACTGGCTGGGGAGGATTGGCGGAAAGGGGGCAGGTCTGCTCTAGCAGCTGCCGTCATCTCATCAGACGTGTTGGCAAGTCTCCAAATGGGCTGCAGTTTGCATGGACTCTGAGTGGAAAAACATCAGGTAGCCTTCATTTAAAGTGCCTGAATGTAAGACCGTCGTGCCAGCTGAGTCTTTAATTTGACTTGGCGACTGTGTCGATGTACTTGGATGTCTCATCTGTAAATTAAGCTTCCGTTAAAGATATTCTTCCAGCCGATTCGCCATTGTCGTCTCCTCTCATGCATTTTTTAGGGTGTGACATCTAGTAAGTGTTTTTTTGTTGTTGTTGCTGTTATGTAAAATAGCCTCTCTGTCTGGATACATGACTGACTTCGGACCTCGGTTGAATACTGATGTGTTTTTTGTTGGTTGTCGCCCTGCTCAGACAGATGGATGCTGTGCTCTGAGATGCGATAGCGTCCTCTCTGTCTCATCCGAGCTGCTGCAGCGCTGCACACACGCAGGAGAGGAGAGACGTGGGCACTTTGCAGCCAGAAAACACCCGACTGCAAGCATCTGATAATCATTTCGAACCAGGGGTCGCGTTACCGGAAAGATCTTTTTCCGCAAAAAAAACCGCTCCTCGATAATGGTCCAAACGCTGCGCTCCGGAGATGATGTGAGCTGAATAAGGGGTGGTGGGGGAGGCTGCAAAGGAGCTGTCCGTCTGTCGAGGTGCTGATGCGGCTGTGACAGGGGCGAGTATGGCCGCCGGGAAGTTGCTGCTCTACGCCGGGCTCTCTTTGTCTCTGTGCGCCCTGGGCATGCTGGCCGTGGCGATGTGCTCCGACCACTGGTACGAGACCGACGCCCGCAGGTACAAGGAGCGGTGCCGGAGCTTCTCCAGCCGCCGCAAGGACCCGGGCTTCATCTACATCCCCAACAACAGCCTGCCGCTGCGGGCCGGCCGGAGCAGCCCGCCTCGGCGGGAGGAAAAGCCGCTCCTGGCCCGGAACCGGCGGCAGCTGTTCGCCATGAGCGCCGCGGACGAATGCAGCAGGCAGTACAACTCAACCAACATGGGGCTGTGGAGGAAATGCCACCGACTGGGTTTCGACCAGGAAATCGAAGATCTCATTAGGAAAGGTAAGGCCAACCCCCCCCCCCCAAAAAAAGTTGGAGGGACAGTTAAGTGATTTAGACATATGCGTAAAAGGGACATCTGCCTCTATGTGTGGTTCTGTAGGGTTGGCCATTTGACCAAAGGGCAAACAAGGGCATCAAGCCCTTTTTTTTTTTTTTTTTTGGATACGCAAGCGAGCGTCATTGTGTCTGACTGGGAATGGGTACGAACCACAGACAGTGTGATGACCTGGCTGTGGCAGCAGACGGTCTGTTGTCATGCGATTTGGGTAAAAAAAAGAGGGGCGCATGTTAATGAAAAGTACCCGTGCGCGAACTCTACCTCCTGCTTGACGTCAAGTTAGTCCCAACCTGCTTCCGCCAGCAATGACATAATCTTCCAGGGTGCTATAAAATTCCAGCTTCACAACTCTAAAAGGAGATATATGCTTGTATATGTGGGATGCAGGTGGGCTTGTTAGACGTAATCTAACCATGAAACTAAGACTATATTTGTGCACACTTTCATCACATCACCTTCTAAAAACAACATTTATTACGCCAGCTGTTTATCACCTACTCATAAATTTGAACACACTTAATTTTTTTTTGATAATGCTGAATTCTGGCATAGCTTTTGAGCAGATGAGACAAGAAATGTCAAGCAAAGATAACACAACTAGCAGGCACATATAAGGAGACAAACATTTGAAAGAAAATTAATCAAGTTTGAACTCTTAAGTTAACTCTATAGATCAGATTATATCAATATTTGCTTTTGACACAGTATTAATTCTTTTGTATTGCGGACAGTTTGAGGTCCACCCGGCAGACATTGTGTTTAATGTCTAAGAGAATTTCCCCAAATTTATCAGTCCCCCCTTGAATTTGTCATCATCGTGGCCCCTTTAGAAACCTGCTGCAATTAGTCTTTATGTGGCTAAATCTTGAATTTTGGGGATTTATTACACTTAGTTGAATGAATGTTTTAGTAACGGAATTTTCGTGTATCTTTTTGTTTCCCTTTTCAATCTATTCAGGTACCTTTAGCTATTTTTCTGTCAAACTGATCATACGTAACTCAATTTGACGTTGATATAATAAGGAGTCAAGAGTGACTGAATTATATTTAACCTTCCTGTATTGTGAACCTCTAGTGTTCAAGCAGTGTTAAACCTAAAAACGAGTCTGTGCCAGCCCCACCACTAGAGGAAGGTTAAAAGGGGTTGCGTGTTGATTCCGGTTGTATGTGATTAAAACAACCACCGTGATTCATATGTACAAGCAGGGTTGTGACCGAGGTCCTAAGACTCGACAAATCAGCTCCAGATTAGGCGTAGATGCAGTTTTTCTTGGAGTGGTTGAGGATGCAATCCACCTCAAGCTGCGTGACAGTTAGGATGAGGTATCTGAGGTATGTTTTTCAACCTAGAGGGAGAGAGAGACAGAAAAGATAGAGAGAAATCTAGTTGTGCGCCTCGGTGTGTACGTGTTTGTGCTTTTGTGAGTGAGCTGCAGCTGCGCCTTCCTTTGACGATGCCTCAATGGCCTTGATTGCTTACCATCTGCAGTAATGGGCAGCCTGTAGTCAGTATGCTAAGTGATCAGATGAATGCCTCCATAGAGGGCTCATATCTGCTCCAGCACTCAGCTTCAGCAGTATGGAAAAGCACATCATTCTTTCACATCATGTAGCATCCAACAGTGGCTTAACATTGATTGAGCAATAAAGAGCGAGCCGTGGAGACGAACATTTTTTTTCTTTCATCTCGGCTGATGCTTCGTCTACATAAGTGAGATTCTGTTACGGCACTTACGGCTCATATTCAGCTGGTGCCCAGTGATACAGTGACATCCGGTAGCCCGGAGCAACATTTGCAAACAACTACCTTTTAATGTCACAACTACCGTGACTGCTTCATCTTGTACAGTTTCCACTTTAAAGCTTCCAGTACTTGCTGTTGTATTAGCAATCATTTCGTTGAGTCTTGGTTACAGCAACCATCACTACCACATCCATTATCACTGCTCTTATGGTTAATACCTTGACTTCAGCTGTTATTGTTCTTTCAAAAATGGATAAAATCTTTATCTTTAACGCTCTCCCTGACTTAGCTGATTCTCAGTCGTTTCTTTTTTTTACACCTCAACAGAAGCTTTTATGATTTTCTTGCTGGCTTTACTTTCCTTTCTGTGCTTTCCAGCTGCTGTCTAATATTGACATCACTGCATCTACAACCATTTCTGCAGCTAGTTATCCTGATACTACTGGAATTGCTGCATCAGCTGCCACAGCTACTACTTTTACGGCCCGTGTAGCTGATGAAGCCTTTTATTTTTATTGCTCCTGGCACCACTACTACTAGAGTGATGCTGCTGCTGTTCTGTTGCCCTGCACTTCTTGTATTGCTTTCATGTGTTCGTTAAATTTTTAATGAAAAAGTCTTTGTCTTTTCAAAGACTTTTCAAATCTTTACGGTGCCTTAACTTTATTGTTTTCAATTTATAGCTGATTTTGACTTGACTCTTCCTTTACACTTCTGAGCCTTCCTAAGTGGTCTGCTTATGTTCTGTTGCTAATACTATTTTCCCTGGCATGACTTCTGCTGCTAGCGTTGCTTCATGAAAATATTCACAGGAAGTATTAAGCGCTGTAAACCCTCATTGCATGTCTGGTCAGAGTTTTCCATGGAGGTGGACTGTGTAAGTGATCTTTGGACTAAAACATTAATTCCTACTTACTGCCTTGCTGTGTGCTATTCACAAATGGGAAACTGAGTGCTTCATGGGATCGCCGTTATGCAGAGTTATAACATGCTTTACATACAGAAGTTTATGGGTTTTATGGTCTCATTATTATTCCACACACTTGTTTAATTTGACACATGAGACATTGGCATGAATTTATCCAAATAATAGACTCATATTTGAACATCTATTTACTTAAAGTTTGGTTTAGAAATCTACTAAATATCTTATATCTAAATATCTTATATCTAAATATCTTATAGTCTTCATATAGATCTTTTTTGATTTGCATGGATCTTGTCATGACATATCAAAACTAAGCAATTCTTTAGTTTTTTTTAGAATTTCATCCCTCAGTACCTTTTATACTTCATTTTAGTTTTAGACAAGATCAGCAGCTGTTTCTGGATTTGTTATGGTTGGCTGATAACAATACAAAAATAGACCATCCATCTGTAGCAGGACAACACTCTACAACAAGAAAATTTAATCTTAAAGTAAATACAGAAATCAACAGAAAGGAAGTTGAGCACATGTTGAGATACCAGTGGGATAAAATACTGAGAACACATTTTGTAAGATTATTATATTTGCATATGGGAAAATCAATTTAAAAGTAAGCCTCGCTTACACATTATATATCTTAAATGTATTTGTCACAGAAAATGACACTTAAACACTTAAAAGACTACATCTTTGGCTATAACTCCTGCATAGATACCTAGCTTTGTTAGCTCTAAAAGTTATTTCTTCAGACTAAACTCCTTTGTGCTACTGAGTGATGGATTCTTTGTGCTGCTTTGTCCAGCAGCTCAAACTTAGTTTGTGTTGACAAATCATGAAAGCCTAGACAATTATTACATTTGTCAGTCAACATGTTACTTTCAGGATAAATTGTGGCCAAATTTATGCCTCGGCTGCAGAAAGGATTGGTTGTATTTCCTGCTCCACAGTGATTACTTTATCAGCAACATTTCTTCATCAAAAACATTAAGGATACTAAATAACAAAAGCTGAAAAAATGTGCTACATTATTTTGCTCAACAACTAAAAAAATAAACAAACATATCCAATCCAAATCAATTTGATAAAAAAGTAAATCATTTCGAAATTTTAGATTTAAGCACAAACCTTTGAGATAATACAATATTAAGTCCGTCTTAAACAATTTGATGGTATGGAATTGAACATATAAAGATGTAAATACTTTATTAGCACTTGAAATGAAACCTATATGAGCCAATAAACATATAAACCACTAATAAATTAGAAAGAATCGCTTTAAGTGGCTAGTTGAGATTGAGTGGAAGAGGTTGATGCTGATGTGGACACACACAAAAGTTTAAATCCTATCTTTTTTTCCCTGCTATATTGAAATACTACTCATGAACTTGGCTATCAATATCAAATTCCTGATGCTGTCCACAGTAACTGGGGGGTTTGCACTGAGCCATCTAACCTCTGTTATATAGGCTTGTTATCATTCTTCACTACTGACTTCCTCTTAGGAATGCTGTGTGGTACTGCAATCATTCGGAAGAGAGTCTCAGTCTGACTGTTCTCATTTGTGGTTCCATGATGAAATGAGCTAAAAGCTATCTAAGAAGGCTTACTCCTCTCAATAGTCCTTTGAGGACTTATCTCTTCCGTGAGTGCCTCCTCTCCTAACACTTACTTCATGCTTAACACCTTTACACTTCTACACATCTTTTTACAG